CTTTGCAAGCGGCTGGTACAAGGTTCTGTACCACGGTTGTTCAGAAGGTTGCTTGGAGATGGCCCGGCAAAGGTTGGCTTCTGAGGACTGTAAAGATCGGCCCATGGATGACACATGGATTCAGATGTGGGATGACTATTTGCCAACCCTTGCACATGTCTTGGGTAGTGGCATTTACCAATCTTCAGCCATACCCTACCTGGAAGCCTTAGTTGCAGCCATGAAGCTGGGTGGATGTGCTACCTTGAAGCAACCGCAGTTTCGGAACCTCATTGGCACTCAAACCTCCTGGTGCGAGGGGGATCCGGAGCTGGTGCGGCCGCTGGCCTGGACGTGTCCTGAAAGCTGTGATTGCACAGCCGCCAACGGCACCTCCTTGCCCAGTTACTGTCCGCGGAGTTGCGCTGCGTGAGGAGCAACGGCGGACGAGGTCCCGTGGAGCAGCCCAGCGACAAAGCGTGCTGTGTGGCGTTCACTGGGGGTTCACTAGCGCCAGAGAAGAGGAACGCGGAAAGAGGATGCAATTTTGCCGCCATCGGGTGAAGCCTGGATGGCACGGTTTTCGAGTGATTTGGATCGTTGCTGAACAGACGTTGTTTCTCTTCTCACGGTTTCCTGGGCGCATAGATTTGTGGAGCCGAGTATGGAGTTGGCCGTCAGTTGGCTGGGTTCATGTGTGGTTCCAGGATGTCGGACTATACTCATTCCATTCAGTAGCTCCAACTAACCCGTGATCTTGTTGGAACGCATTGTAGTACGCCGGCCCCACATATGATGAGCATTCCCAATATTCACCAAGTGTGGCGCAAGTGGGCAGTTGAACGAGTTTTTGTTCGGGGGCGTTACTTTCGACATGCCCCTATATATTCAGAATGCCCAAAAGACTTCCTTTTTGCTGAAAGGGCTACACAACATCTCAGAATCAATCTCGACCACATACAAAGATTTTGCCAAAACAGCGTTGCCTTTTTGGCTAGAGCTTGAGCTGCTCTTGAGCATTGAAGACGTGATTGCATGTCTCCAACTGCAAAGACCAAAGACAACTCTGGTCGACTGGGCATTGCTCGGCCACGTCGTTTTGATCAAAACGCCAAGTTGAGACATGTTAAGACGAAGAAGCGCATCCCGACCCCACGGGCTCCAGCAAGCCCTTCACCACCAAGCCCTTCGGCCCTTCACCACGGATGACTGGGAGAGCCATAGTTGCTTGCGAACGCGCCATGCCGGAGGCAGTTGAAGTCGACCCGTTTTCCAGAATTTGGATGGATGAGTTGCAGAACGTGTGTGGCAGAGGGGGGGTCCAGTCGATTCGGTCTGATGAACGGTGACCTTTTCATCCTTTCGTCAGGGAATATCCTTTGCTTCGGTCTCAAACATCGGCGTTTCCGTCGTTTCCTGGACTTCTTAGGGTATAGGTGTCACTGCCTTACACACTGATGTCAAGCCTGCTTGAAGTTGGAGGGGCAGCTAGGCTGTCACCGAAAGTCCTCTATATATTTATTCTGAGAAACTCTTCCCAAGTAGATGTTCCATTTGTCCGCACCTTTTTGGTGGAAACCAAACAAAAGGACACCTGTTTGTAAATCGCTTGAACCTGTGGAGTTTGACCAAAGGTGAGGTGAATCCCACTTGATCAACCCACGAATCCCGTTTTCCACCCGAGTCCTCGAACGACGGGCCGTCGGCCTCGTCGGGCCGTCGCTTGCGACGTCGCTGGCCGCCAGGGGTGAATGTGGCCGGCACCGCCATCGGTGTCCCCGGTCGCACCGGCCGTGACCCGGTCGGCGGACGTTGCGGACGTGAGGACTGCGGGACGTCGCGGCAAGATCCGAAGATCATGAGAAGATCGTGAGAAGATCGTGAGAAGATCATGAAGGATTGAAATGATTTCAAGTCTTTTCAGGCGCATTTGGTCAACGAACGTCTTGACACCACCCAAGATGCTGTTCCAGGTCGTTCCAGCGTCCAGCGTCGGGCCGGCCCGGCCTCGCACAGCCGAGGACGCGCAGCAAAGCGACCGATTCGCGCCGCTCGCGACCCTGGCATTGGCTGACCATCCTGGCAGGCGTCGAAGGTGGTGGATGTCCAAGAGGTCTAGACCTCACCAAAGAATGCAAAGATCCGAGAAAGACGAGCCGCGCCCCCCCCAAAAGACGATCGGACGTTTGAAGAACGAGTTGGACCCTTCCTGCACGGTATTGAATCTAACAGAATACGAGAAGTGGGATTCTTTTCCAACAGTTGACTCTGTCTAGTTGGCACATTGCAATGCGCAGCCAAGACTTTCCACTGCGTGTTGCAATCCCAATTTTTGGATCGCTTGCACGGTGAAGCCAAAACACTCCAATCTCGGTTTCCAAGTTTTTTGCCCTGCTTTCTTTTTTTTTAGTGCCTTGCGCAAGCAAGAAAGCTGTGGCGATGTACGCAAGATCCATATCAGGACACCGTTACGAAACACTGGCAAGTTAGCTCCAAACTTATCAAGAAAGAATTATGCTCCAAACTTATCAAGAAAAATTGGAAACACCGGGAACGAGTCATATTGGGACCCGAGGATTCCTGACGCGTGCTAATCCACGCTGCCAAGCCGCGCTGCTAAGCCATGCGGGTGCGATGACGGTTCTTCTTGCGCCCTGAGGGCCTTAGTTCTCTCTCAACTCCCAGACCTTCAAATGAGAGGCCCGAAAGGCCGACCACGACTTGGTGGTGAGGCCCCTTGAAAAAAGGTGACCTGACTGAGATTGATTCTTTGACCGAGTGAGACCCGAGCACAACGACCGGACATTGATCGATGCCAGGCTGCCGTGTGGCGAGGGTCTCCCGTGTGGCGGTTTCGGGCGGCGAAGCCCAGAGGAGTTGAGTCCCAGGTCCCAGCGGGGCGAGTTTTCAAGGGTTGCAACAACTAGGAGTGGTTTTCTCGCATTAGCCTGGAAATCAAGGAGAGTCAGAAAAGGACAACCAGATCGCAACCCTCGGTGTGATACATTGTGCCGTTGCAGCAGTGTAGCAGCGGTGGCAAGGCAAGTGGTATTCATAGGCCGCGTTGTTGCCAGTTTGCATCTGCTTCAGTTCCGAAGGTATGCCCCCCAAATGTGGTCGGAAGGTTATGCATTTCACAAGGTAGGTTTGCTTTGACATTTGGCAAAACACAGTGTTCGCATCTGGTAAAGGGTGTGGCGTCGCTAAGGCGTGTGTTGAACCTAGTGGCTGTTCAGCTGGAAATGACAGAGACAACTTGCAGAAACCAGAATGCTTTCCCTCTACAACCAAGTGGCATCCTTGTGGATTACCCAGTTTGAGGAGACAGAGACATCTTGCAGAGACCATTCTCTACTCACCTGCAACGGGGACCACTAACCTGCACTTGGTCTTCCCCAAACTCTAGGGAACTTGAGGGTTACTGCTGCTCGAAAGGGGGAGCGCTGGTCACCACAGTGGCCACAGGTAGACACTGACATGACAGAGCCCACTAATTCTCCGCAAGTCACTGGGAGTAGAAGTGCAAAAACAACGAGGGAGCAGAGAAGGAAGGCGCAGACACGAACATGCCAGCTCACAACCCTATGTGCCCTTGGGTATTCTTTTCTCTGATCGCAGTGCTCCACGGCGATTGTGCATGCTCCGACCGACCAGACTGGCCGATGCAAGTGTGCTAACAGCATTGCTAGGAATCGGAGGCCACTGATTGCGTGTAGTTCAGTCACCTCAACGACAGCCTCCTCCTCCAGGCCCGCAGGCAGCTGTGACAGGCATCGCCTGACTTGCTCAGTAGGCCTCTGCCGTGTCCTGCATGGTAGTGGACTTACTGTAGAAGCCAAGTGACACTGAATCTTCTGCGGTAGACATTCCATCATATTCCATCATAATTCATCATGATTTGGTCAACTTCTAAGAGGTGCAAATCTGCAAAGGACGGACATTGATCCTTTAAACGATTGAATTCCTTTTCCACAAGCAGACAAGTGTCCAATGGACAACTCGACGTCAAGACGCTCCCTCAACAATAGCGCTTTTTCTCTCTCTCTCTCTCTCGCGCAGATCATCCCCCAGAAAGTTGATCCTACGAAACATGGTGCTAGTTGATGCGTAGGGCAATTGCATTGAATGGTTTGGATTCAGTCTGTCCGAAGAAGATTGCAAATCTTTTGGTTGTGAAGAGAAAGCGATCATCATTTACGAGGTTGAGCTAGCGGCTGCAGTTCTTGCCTTGTCATTGTGGCATGAAAAGCTTTCGGGAAACTTGGTGATATGGTTTGGCGACAATGATAGTGTGAGGTTCGCCATGATTCGAGCAACCAGCTTGGGCAAGTGGGCGGAAGCGTTGATGTGCTTCACTTGAACTTGGAGGTTGAGATGAATACAAAGGCTTGGCGAATCCGAGCGACTTTCCATTCGAGATTGTGTCCTCATCCACTTTTGATTTCCAATGCTGACACATCGTCGGTTGCCACAGCTGCCTTTGACTCCTTAAGGACCTTGTTGAAGGCTTCGATGGATCGCTCGATATGAATTGGGGAAGGGAGACAAGACCGAGCCACCACCCAGTTTCGAAAAAGAGGTTGCTGAGCTTTTCATACAGTGTGTTCAAGACACCAAACTTTGTATATAGTGACATTGTTGTATCGTTCCTGCTTGTGTTTCCATGGCGTGTTCCTGTGTTTTGTGGAGCGACAGCATCTGTAGCCCAGTTGCTTGGGTCCGTTTGATTGTCCACTTGCACTGCCTGGAGGATGGCTTTAGTTAGTTTTAGTTTTGTGAGTAAACGTGTGAACATTGAAACGCGTTTGCTTGTATAGGCAACCCTGGCTCGAAATTCAATAAAGTTACTTCACATCTAACTGCTAATGAAAACCATGTAAGCCAGCAAATTCAGCACGTGGCCAGGGGCAGTTTCCCAAAGGGAAAGGACATCATCCATATCCACATCTTGTTGTAGGTTGTGGGTCACATGTGTTGTCCAGGAAGCAATTCAGCGTGCCATGGGGAAGGATGACGAAGTCATGCCGTTTTCCGAAAGGCCAGTCGACTGCAAAAGAAATCTGGCGTATCAACATTGCCAATATGTCCTTGTTGGATCGCCTCCTGATTTGGTAGGCCCGCTTCCAGTGGCAGGCGCAGCATGGTCCGGCGGTGTGATGCGACGTGTGGGTTGAAGTGCTTTTGGCCACAAAACGTAGTGGTTTGATCCAGCAACCAACGAAAAGAGGCAACAAGTCAGCTACAGATTGCAGACACGTCATGTACGTACTGAGAATTGCGGAACCCTAGGCAACACCAAGAACGGGTGGCGAGTCGGAATTTGCGTCAATAAATTTTTCAATCCACCGGCCTGCCTTGCCGAAAAGGGGCTTTGCATCGCCGCCCGAATCACCTCAGGCAGCACAATTCAGGTGCTGAAACAAACTGTCATATGAGTCATATATAATGAAATTCACATCGCCAAATACTTGGAACGCCTTGTGCCCTGCCTTCCGCACCAGGGTAGAACTGCCAGCAGCTTAGAGGCATCGGCCATAGGCCTTTCGTAATCTGGGACTGCAGACACTAGACTCTAAAGCACGTAGATAGTTGTGGCATAATTGATCATATATTTCTAGGTTTTGAGTCTGTTCGGAGTATTTTTGGAACTATGCATGGGCAGATTCCAGTGACTGAATGTGGTCCTCCCATCCTTGTTTGATAGCAACTGGCTGGTTTAGACTTGGATAGAATTCAGTTGGAGATGGAGGGTTTGCGGTTTGGGATTCTTGATTTGACCTCCAAATTGCCGGCCCTTTACTGTTCCTCGATCAGCTCGTGCTTGGTGGATTGATCGCCCTGGACAAGACAGACTCGACGCTGTTGCTGAGGCCAAAGCCAAATGACCCGAATTTGAAATGCCAATCCTTCAGGCGACTGGTTTTGCATCTCGCCTGTTTTTGAAGGTGTATTTTACAATCTAGCGTGTATGAATCCATACAATTTTTCATTGCATCGCCACCACAGCCACATCGTAGCTCCGACGCGGGCCATCGCTGCGAAGATTTGGTCTCACGATTGCATCTTCGCCGTGCACAGGCCAGCTTTGCAGGCCCATGGGCTTCGGCTTCGGCGCTTTAGATGGCACTGGTAATTTCCTTTGACTTGATTTGTTTTTGATCTTGGGGAAATCCAAAGAGATCGAAATCCAAGTATTTATATACAATTGCTTTTGCTTTCCATTGCCCTTTGGTTGCTCAGTTTCTCCATGAAATCCTCATCACTATCCGCCCAAGTGTTTGGTGAGCAAGGGTCCTGCAATCTACAAATTTGAATCAAGGCAATTGGCTGTTTTGTTTGGGCAATGGACGTCCCAATTCATCCAATTTGCAGTCTTTGATTCTCAGGGTCCAGTGCGCCACACAATCCAAGACGGCCTGCCGACGTGCAGGATGCAAAGTTCAGAAAGATATTTAAACACTTCCAGGCACGGGCTTGCCAGTTTGCAATCTACTTCACTCCTTCTAGGAAAAACTTATTGGGTCACGGACTAGACCTTAAGGCCTTATACACAACCTTGTAAAGCAAGAGTCTGACATGACCTTGAATGAGAGCTCAAAGCGGAAGCTGACAGGTGTTCACCTCGAACAAGTCTCATCCATTGCAAAGATAAGATTGCGCCCGGCAGGAAAAATCTCCAGTTATGAAAGCTTCAAAGATGGAGAATGCCATGCAAGTGTTGGGATTGAACCCAACGCCCGCGCAGGCGACAGTGGGTTACTATAATGTTTTTTTCCCCAAACAGTTACTCTTGGGGTTCTATCTTGGAAAAAATCAAGCTGGCCACACTCACTGGCCGCGCCCCTGAACTCTGTGGCTGGGCTCTGTGTCCAGGCCTTGTCCTCCTCTTGTCCTCTGTGGCTGGGCTCTGTGTCCAGGGCTTGTCTCCTCTTGTCCTTTGTGGGTGGGCTCTGTGGCTGGGCCTTGTCCTCCTCTTGTCCTTGTTTTGGCCGCGCCCCTGAACTCTGTGGCTGGTCTCTGTGGCCCGGCTTACTGGAGAGGAGTGTGGCCGAACAAATAGCGATGTCAATGCCGACAAAAATTCATTGATGAAGTTGGGGTGAAGGTAATTAAGGCGTACCAAAAAATCGTTTTTGACTAATATTGGTCTAAACGAATCGTTTTGAAGCTGTTTGGGGTCTATGCTGGTATAATTTGTAGATAAGATACATGTTTAAACTGAATTGGGAATAATGTTCTCAAACTTTAAGCGATAAAGATGTATATAACATCTTGGAAACCGGAGTGTCACGCTGCTCGGCCAGGCAGCTGCTAGACATGACTGGACCCCCAACATGGGTTTGTCAAGAGATGTCGTCAAGATGTCACAAATCAGAGTTTCAGAGAGTGAGACTTGAGCAGTTGGCCAGGTCTGCGAGCTTTTACATCGTGTGGGCCAGCCTGTCGTCCTCAACTTTGAAACCTTCAGCCAAGCAATGAAGGAGACCGGAGCGATAGAAACTATGTGACCGCAGCCATGAGGAGTGGCACTTGTTTCTAGAGGCGAGCAGTAGGTGTTGAGGCCTGTGCTGACAGTCAACATCAGTGCCCCGTGTTTTGCATATGACATCTTGCTGATTCCAGGTTTGACACCGTGGATGCCCGAACGCTGGTTGGTACACGCTAGGTTTCTTAAGCCTTAAACACGACGTCATTCCCACAGTTAGGGACGATGGATATTCTGTGGAAGATCTGCCTGACTCTCCCCCTCTAAGTCGAAGATTCCACCGTGGACCGTTTTGTGTTTCTTCGAAAGCCCGCTTGATTGTCTTCACACCAAGTGCAATTGTCCTTCAGCTTCAACTTGTCATCCTCAAGTACAGGGAGTCACCCATCACCATGGCATCCATGTGCCTGAGCAACTCGGCCTCGGCACTCGACAAAGGTGCCAAAGGCCTGCCTAACGGAAAGGTTGCACATAGATATATAAACCAAAACCGGATAGGTAAGCCAATCCCCAAACTGCAGCGCCACCCTCTGCTCCTGGGTGGAAAAGTTCGGGAGATCCGAGCTTCTCAGCTCCAGAACCGCAGACGTGTGCGGTGGTAGATCAGGTGGGCCTCCCCCGTCACCTAGAGAACCGTGCGAGCTCCTCCGGCATGGACAGTACGGTCCAACAGGGTTTGTATTCTTTTCTCCAGCCAATAACGAGTCACGGAGCCTCTTCACTTCTCGAACAAACGTCTCTTCAGCCTTCTTCACAGTACAGGCTCTGAATCTAAGTACTCACCTTAGGGGCACTTCCTCTAGGAATGATTTCTTTTTCAAGCAATATCAAGCATGCTTTCCACCACGTAGCAAGTAATCGCCTTTCACTTTCCAAATCAAGATATTATCCACCGACATTTTTTCATGTCATATGAGTCAATCTCTTTGCCCTCACCCTTTGAACCCACTGCGACTTTCGCACTGTTGCAGGAGGCACTTGCATGCTGGGCGCAACCGGCTGAGGCCAGGGCACCCATGTCATCACACTTGGAGAAGTCAGGTGTGTGCAGCCAAGCTGGTGGGCTGGATGATGACACCGGATGACACCTGACTTTGAGAACGCACCAACTGTTTGCATGTCCTGGAAGGCCCAGGCGGCGGAACTTCAAAAGTGTTTTGAGGATTTCGATCCGCAAAAGACTGGTGTCTTGGAAAGCAATGCCGGATGCTTTGAACCTATTATTATCTATTATTTTTTGGGCACACCTCTTTTTGGAGCACCCGGTGGTATATTTCGATCATTTTGGAGGGCACCATGACTATCTCCCGGGCCGGGGTTAGGAGATCGTCCAGCTTTGATCCCAACTTTGGTGTTGTCCACATTATGAATGTTAGTATTGTTAGTGCATGAATGTCGGCTCTAACAGAAAGTCAAACAAGATGGAACCCACGAACCCGAATGATATGTCCACAGGACACTCTTGTAGGACACTCTTGCGGGACACTCTTGTAGCACACTCTTGTGGGTCACTCTTGTAGGAAACTCTTGAGGGACACTCTTGTAGGACACTCTTGTGGGACACTCTTATAGGAAACTCTTGTGGGACACTCTTGTGGCACACTCTTGTAGGACACTCTTGTGGGACACTCTTGTAGGACACTCTTGTAGGACACTCTTGTCGGAAACTCTTGTGGGTCACTTGCAGGACACTCTTGTGGGACACTCTTACACGACACTCTTGTAGGACACTCTTGTGGGACACTCTTGTAGGACACTCCTGTTCGACACTCTTGTAGGACACTCTTGCGGGACACTCTGCGGGACACTCTTGTGGGACACTCTTGTGGGACACTCTTCTAGGACACTCTTGTGGGACACTCTTGTAGGACACTCTTGTCTCTTGTGGGACACTCTTATAGGACACTCTTGTGGGACACTCTTGTGGGACACTCTTGTAGGACACTCTTGTGGGACACTCTTGTGGGACACTCTTGTGGGACACTCTTGTGGGACACTCTTGTGAGACACTTTTGTGGGACACTCTTGTGTGTCACTTGCAGGACACTCTTGTGGGACACTCTTAGGAAACTCTTGTGGGACACTCTTCTAGGGCACTCTTGTGGGACACTCTTGTAGGACACTCTTGTGAGACACTCGTGTAGAACACTTGTGTGGGTCACTTGCAGGACACTCTTGTGGGACACTCTTACACGACACTCTTGTAGGACACTCTTGTGGGACACTCTTGTAGGACACTCTTGTAGGAAACTCTTGTGGGACACTCTTATAGGACACTCTTGTGGGACACTCTTGTGGCACACTCTTGTAGGACACTCTTGTAGGACACTCTTGTGGGTCACTCTTGTAGGAAACTCTTGTGGGACACTCTGTGGGCCACTCTTGTGGGACACTCTTGTGGGACACTCTTGTAGGACACTCTTGCGGGACACTCTCGTGGGACACTCTTGTAGGACACTCTTGTGGGACACTCTTGTAGGACACTCTTGTGGGATACTCGTGTAGAACACTCTTAAGGGACACTCTTGTGAGACGCTCTAGTGGGACACTGTTGTGGGACAGTCTTGTAGGACACTCTTGTGGGACACTCTTGTAAGACACTCTTGTGGGACACTCTTCTGGGACACTCTTGTAGGACACTCTTGTAGGACACTCTTGTGGGTCACTCTTGTGGGGCACTCTTGTAGGACACTCTTGTGGGACACTCTTCTGGGACACTCTTGTAGGACACTCTTGTGGGACACTCTTGTGGGACACTCTTATAGGACACTCTTGTGGAACACTCTTGTGGGACACTCTTGTAGGACACTCTTGTGGGACACTCTTGTAGGACACTCTTGTGGGACACTCTTGTGAGACACTCTTGTGGGACACTCTTGTGGGTCACTTGCGGGACACTCTTGTGGGACACTCTTAGGAAACTCTTGTGGGACACTCTTCTAGGACACTCTTGTGGGACACTCTTGTGGGACACTCTTGTGGGACACTCTTGTAGGACACTCTTGTGGGACACTCTTGTGGGACACTCTTGTGTGACACTCTTGTAGGACACTCTTGTGGGACACTCTTGTGGGACACTCTTGTGGGACACTCTTATAGGACACTCTTGTAGGACACTCTTGTGGGTCACTCTTGTAGGAGACTCTTGTGGGACACTCTTGTGGGACACTCTGTGGGACACTCTTGTGGGACTCCTTGTGGGACACTCTTGTAGGATACTCTTGTGGGACAGTCTTGTAGGACACTCTTGTGGGACACTCTTGTGGGACACTCTTGTAGGACACTCTTGTGGGATACTCCTGTAGGACACTCTTAAGGGACACTCTTGTGAGACACTCTAGTGGGACACTGTTGCGGGACACTCTTGTGGGACTCTCTTCCAGCTCCCCAGATACTCCGCGTACTAAAGTTGTACTACAAGGTCGCCAGTTCCCAGCTTCCAGCTCCCCAGATACTCCACGTACTACAGTTGTACTACAAGGTCGCCAGTTCTCAGCTTCCAGCTCCACAGATTGCTCCGCGTACTAAAGTTGTACTACCAAGTCACCAGTTCTCATCTTCCAGCTCCCCAGATACCCCGCGTACTAAAATTGTACTACAAAGTCGCCAGTGCTCGCCTGCATTTCGCGCGCTCGACACGCACGATCTCCGCAGAGGGTTGCGCGGGCACCGGACAAATCGCACTCTCGCCTGCGTTTCGCGCACTCGACACGCACGATCTCTGAAGAGGGTTGCGCGCGCATGGGACAAATCGCACTCTCGCCTGCATTTCGCGCACTCGGCACGCGCGATCTCCGCAGAGGATTGCGCGCGCATGGGACAAATCGCACTCTCGCCTGCATTTCGCACACTCGACGCGCGCGATCTCGACAGAGGGTTGCGCGTCAAGTCTCCAAAACGAGCGTTTCGTTCGAGACTTCCTCAAAAACTCACACGTCAAAGTCTGCAAAACGAGCGTTTCGTACGAGACTTCCTCCAAAAGTCCAGCGGAAACACCCATCGGAGCACACACATCACGCAGCCCTGCCAAGCAGTTTCGCGATTCCAGCCCCTCCAAACAACATCCGCTCACACGCCAATCCCAATGGGACAGCGACATTCACCTCTACCACAACTCACAACCTCACGATTCCCTGCGCCTGCCACGAATCTTTCTCCATCCGCACGTCTAACGCGCACAAAGTACTGCGCCTGCCACGAAATGTCACCTCCCTCACACCTCGCAACCTCACGATTCCCTGCGCCTGCCACGAGAATCGCACTTCCACGCTTCAAAGCCCGCACGAAGTCCTGCGCCTGCCACGAAAAGTGACAATATCATCGCGTGTGAGCTTCAACAAAATTTGCACCACACCACACGTTTGGAATGATTTCGACCCGTTCAGAGCACACTCCCATCCACCAAAATCGCCATTTCAGCTGAGACTTGTTACGAAAACAGAGCTTCGATGCCACACCCTGAAACGCAAATCCCAATGGCACGGCCACATCCAACACCCCAAAAACACGACTCTCCAAACGCTAATCCCAAAGGCACTGCGCAGCAAACTGCGGATCTCACAAAACGCTGCGCCTGTGCAGCGAAATGCATCACGTTTCTTGCGCGACATGTCGGTGTCATGCCAATCACAATGGAATTGCGGCGCAAACTGACACGTGACACATCCATGCAAAGGTCACTTGCAAAAGCTTTCCCGAATGGCAGCAAATTTGAGACGCGACGACCCCAATGGCAGCAAATTTGAGACGCGACGACGACGACACGACGACGACAAACGACGACAAACGACGACAAACGACGAGAGACGACGACAGACGACGAGAGGACGCAAGCCACGCGAACACAGCTCCAACCCCCAGACCCACAACTATAAACGGGAACCCTTCGCTATGCATTCGGGAAAAAGGATGTTTCACCTTTGCATCGGGTGTTTGAAAGTTGATCATCCCACCTTTGAGGTCAACAGCTTCCAGCTAATTATTGTAGTCCTTTTAGACTACGGCCGTGCTCATATCTCACCACGTGCTTTCCCACTTCAACGTACGTCCAAACTGCGTTATGAGGCTTTTTGCAGCGGGCGACGATTGCCACAATCATGGGCCGTGGCCTTTGTGGTTGATAGGCACTTCGAATTACGACGGTCAAAGCGTGAATTTGTGCGTTGACAGCCGTGGTTGGTAGGTTTTCGTTCAGTCTTTGTCCTGACTGGTGCTTGCTTCCCCCTATAACTGCTTACCAAGTGTTTTTTGAGCAATTGGAACTACCATACCATGCCACACTTTGCTATCCTTTGTTTGTGCCGGCTAAGGCGGAACGTTCTCAGAAGAGCAATTGGAGGAGACTCTTCTTTTTCAGCATGTTGTGTCCACCTTGGAGTCACAGATAGTCTGCGGACGTTCTGTGGTAGTAGGACTGTATACCTGCTATGTTCTGACTTGACATTACTTCCCGGGCCCCTGTCTGAATTTTAAGCAAGTCAGTCGCACAAAAATGCACCCGGCAGACACGCTTTGGAACTTGGCATTTTGAGATTGAAGAATTGGACGTTTTGACACCGCTGCACGTTTACTTAGGCTCACATTCTAATTTCTCGAGTGTGTGAGGTAGTATTCTGAGGGAGATTCGACTTAGACACTGAGTGTGGCAATATCCTTGACACGCGACATGTTGCCAAGAAATAAGAACAAAACGAGTTTCCCCGCTATTCAGCAGTTTGTTACTCAACAGTTTGTTGTCACTTGCACTGGTTTGCTGTCAGAGGAGCTGTTGAGCGGAACCAGACTGACAAGCAGCTTGGCCTCGGACCAGCTGTGCATTTGTGATACCAAGACACGCTGTTCCGAGCCAGATGATGTAAAGTTTGCGTTTATTGCACGTTTAGAGTGGCACAACGTGTGCTTCTATGTAAGTTTTATGATCAAAGAACACTCGTCTGGATTTATGTCTTCGCGTGACCCTAGTAGCGAGGAGAAACCACATACGTCAAGGGCATGCAGTGAAGCTCATGGTTTGCAGAATTGGAATTTCCAAAGTGATTTGAAACCGTGATTCGGCCAAGATGGCAATTCCAAGTTTTAACTAAAACACCTTTGTACTGGACATTGTTCCCCAAACAGCTTTCCTGTGAGGGGCATAGAAACGATGCTGGCCAAGATGATTCCCGCCCTTTGTCTCCCCTTGTCTCCCCTTGTCTCCCATGGCGTGTCTGGATGCTGGGCTGAGATGATTTTGCTTTGTCTCCCTTTGTCTCCACTTGTCTCCCATGGCATGTCTGGATGCTGGGCTGAGATGATTTTGCTTTGTCTCCCTTTGTCTCCCTTTGTTGGGCCTCCCGTTGTCTCCCCTTGTCTCCCATTGCATGTCTGGATGCTGGGCTGAGATGATTTTGCTTTGTCTCCCTTCGTCTCGCCTTGTCTTCCATGGCGTGTCTGGATGCTGGGCTGAGATGATTTTGCTTTGTCTCCCTTTGTCTCCCATGGCATGTCTGGATGCTGG